TTCTCCCAGAACATTGATTTTTGTGACCACAGTTACAAACAGCCTCCAGAGAGCCTGTTCTACACCAGACCAGTGGAGCCAGACTGCAGCTAGAGGCCATCATCATCCTCATCTGGTTGTAAGTAGGCAATCTAGTATATTATTCGTGGCACTAAGCTCTAATTTACCTCACATTAAAGAAACACTATAGTCCCCAGAACCACTTCAGCTTAATGTAGTGGTTCTGGTGTCTATAACCTGTCCCTGCAGGCCTTTTAATGTAAACACGGCGGCACTGCAGCACTGGCGTTAGTTAACATGGCAAATCATATGGGTGGTTGCATTGTGATGTCACATGGGGAGGAGGGGGGCAAACTTTACTTTTGCCTAGGGCGGCAAAAATCCTTGCACCGGCCCTGGCTGGAGGGGGCTGTGGCAGTACAGCTCACACAAGCAAACAGCTGATAAACTGGCCGCACGGAGGAAATGTGTATGTGTGACTGTCTGCCTGTGACTGTATGTGACTGTCTGCCTGTAACAAATTGTAAAAAAGAGAACCTTTAAAAATGTTTACAGGTTTTTTTTTTTGGGGTGAGGGGGGTGCCAAGCACAGGATCCGCCCCGGGTGCCAAATGCTCTAGGTACGCCCCTGGTAGGTGGTGTCATAGTCGTTTAAGATATGACCAGCTAATCGGGAGGTAGAGCCCTCAAGAGGGTCTGTCGGATTCTGCATAACGAATGGTTGGGAATGTTTGAGAATTTTTGCAGGAGCTTTGCCTTTGCCCGCAGTAGCGCTATTCCCTTTCCAGGGTCTTTTGCGCGGGGCACTTTCTTGGTCTGAAAAATGGGAATCCTCAGAGTCAGAGGGCTGGTGTGTAGAGGGATGAACCTCTGTAGCAGATTGCTCATGATAAGCTGCCAGAGCTTTGGGAATGGACTCCGCAATGGTGGCAAATAGCCAATCCCGAAGTTCTGCAGAAATAGCAGGGTCTTGGTGTTCCGACATAATGTTTTTTATGTTATGGGAATGACAATGGGCAGATCAATAACTACAGGTAAGTGTAGTAAAAATTGTAAGGCAGTGTAGTGGCAATGAAAAAATGAGGCAACTCAACTAGTATAATGGAGAGGTGGGGGTCACCCACACGAGGTAAGAATCAGTGGGGGTCACCCACAATTATTAGGCACAATCAAGAAAGGGGGTCACCCTTTAACAAATGGTGAACAGCAACAGTTAACGAATATATATATTCAGATAAGTAAGCCTAACGTGGTAGGGTTGCCCACTATAGAGGACCCTGTCACAAATAAACAAAGTGATATCTGCCAAAAAATTATTATTATTATTTTTTTTTTTAATATAGGCAGTAGTTATGGTGGAGTTAAGTAGAAAGTAAAGTGGGGATCACCCACAAAATAAGCAGGGTGGGGTCAACCACACAAATTATTATTGGCAGTAGTTGTGGTGGGGGTCACCCACAAATGAGACAGAAGGTGGTGTCAGCCACACAACAATTAATAAGGTAGATAATACAGCAACACATTGGGGGTCATCCAATAGTTTAGCAGGCAGGACTGTTAGCAAAAATAACCTGTAATGAAGAAAGGAGACAATGATCAGTGTCCTGATCTTAATTTTGTTTGGTAAATCCTTGATATATGATTAAGTTAATAATTAGCTTACGAGGCGGAGCTAAGTGTTGGAAGCGGACGGTCGCATGGCCGCAGAGCTCCGTGCTAGAAACTCAAACGAACGACAATTCCGGCACCTGAATCTAAAAGCAAACTCTACTGAGGCGATCCTGAGAGCCCTAGGGACCCAATGGGCCGAAAAAACAAAAAGGCAAAACCCGATAAACCCCGCCAGGGAATGGACATCGGAGAACTCTGGCGAAAGGCACGCGTTGCAGCAGGAGCCAAGATGGCGTCCCTGCATGGTGGTTGCTCCGACTTCACAGACGGATCATCGGATGACGAAGGGGGAGACCACTTGATGGCCATGCCAAATCCTCCTGCATCTAAAGGGAGCCGCAGCACACGAAAGCCCCCACCCCCGTGACCATGGAGGCTATTGGGGCGCTCATGGCAGATCACCACAGGAAAATTGCGGCCGACGTAGCCCTAATTAGAGAAGACATCAGGGGCCTTACAGTCAGGCTGGGAGCAGTGGAAGCCTCCACCACTAGCCACACTGCCCAGATCGCAGACATCCAAGCGGCAATCCGAGACCTGCAGCAGAAATCCTGGCAGCACGAACAACAACTAGCTGCCCAGGAAGACAAGCAACGCCGCAACAATCTAAAGCTCAGAGGAGTCTCGGACTCCGTACCAGAGGCCGAACTGCCACATTTTGTCCGACGTCTCCTCACCGAGCTACTAACTCCAAAGGCAGCGAAAGCAATCAACCTGGAGGGTCTGTTCCGCATACCACGGCCGGCAAAGGCCCCTCCCGCCGCCACAGGGGACTTAATCGTTCAGTTCCAATTAGCTAGGGACAAAAAGGCGGTCCAGGAGGCCACGAGAGGTCTGTCAACTTACCCCTTTGAGGGGATGACCCTCTCTTTCTACAACGACCTCTCGGGCGCGACTCTAGCATGGAGAAGATCCATGAATACATTTACGGCCCTAATGAGGCTCCATCAAATCCGGTACCGCTGGGGACCGGGCCGCTCACTTCTCATCGACAAGGAAGGTACCAAACATGTGGTCCGTGATATGCAGGAGGCCAAGGAGACACTGGGCTTACTTAACCTACCCACGGATCCACCATGCCCACCGACACAACCAACAGGCCTTAAGCCTCACTCAGAGGACACAACGCGAAGGCCCCAGAGTTCACTCCCCGGAGGCCACAGATGGACTCTTACGCCACGGCCACCACCTGAGACGGACATTCACCACCCCACAGGCAAAGCCACCAGAACGGGCATCAGGGGACACGACCCGGACTTGCACACTCAAAACCCCTCAACCAACGATTCGGCCCATAATGCAGGAACTATAACCCCTTTCAATCGGAGACACAAGGACTTACAGCACAGAAGGCATGGGAACTCTACTCAGCCGTTCTCACAACATCCAGAGACGGACCTTCACAAGCAGACCGAAAAGAAGGCAGAAGATGCCGCGAAAAACCCCCAGTGACAATTTGCGTTTTTCCTGCTACGGGATAACCCTCATTTGTGCAACCTATATTGTGCCCGGGCCTTTGCCTAATTCTTATTATAGAGACACTCAAGCTATCTACAGCGGCAGCAGTGCCGATGCTTGAGCGCAGTTATTTTATTTTTCTTTATTTTTTATTCTTTATGATACATCGTTTGATTCTTCAGTTCCCATGTTAGAAATATTTATGCAGGCCTTATCCCTTTGCCGGTGCCCTGCTCCGGACCCGCAACCACGGCCTCCGGAGCGGGCATCGGCTGAGGGTGGGGGGGCTCCCTCACCATCCGGCTTCCAGCCAGAGCCTTTGCTCACACCAAGAGAACTCTGAGTATACCCAGATGCTCAGATAACCTAGCTTGCTTTGTATAACACATTAGACTGCATAGCATAGCCAATAACGTTTCGCTTCATCTGTTCAATAAGTATGTTATTTAGTGTGTTAAGTTTCACTATGATATAGTATACCATGACTAGCTAGCCAGCTCAGTTCAAACGCAAAGCACTTGAATGTTGTACAGACAAGTAGGTTTAGCCTGAGATTAATGGTTTGCCTCTTATGTTTACTGCAAGCTTAAAATCAGTCATACTATGAGTGTTCCAGATTGCTTTCTACAATGTACACAAGCTTTAGGGAAGATATCCGTCACCCAACGAGATGTAGCCTATGCATTAATGGGGTGACTCCTCCCTGCATCACACACTACCTAGCTATTAATATAGTGCTAGACACGATAACACGACACGATTATACTAGTGTAGCTAATCTAACACGGTGACGCATCGCTAACTCTACCTTTTTTCATGTAACCATACTCGGACAACACAACAGGTTAAATTCTCAATGTGTATAGCAGGGGTATAACGCTAACTAACTAGCACACTAACGTGTGCCTGGCATCTTTGCCTACCGTACTGCATATCTTAGACGTGACATTGCCGTGATCTCTGAATATGTGTTGATTGTCTGTACCTAGCTAAGGTACCTGTTGGATGCATATTTTACTATTACTCATGTATTTTCAGTACTTAACTTCACTTAAAATATAAAAACGTGCACATGTCTCTGTATGCCCCACTGTAACAAATGCCATTGATATAAGCGTGTGGAATGCCTTTGGGGTACCACAAGCAAGTCTGTTAAGCCTATATGCGCACAAAAATAAAGAATTAAATAATTAGCTTACCTTCCGGGTAGGAAAAGTAGAAGTGCCCACAGATGAAAAAGCCGGTCCGCGGTAAAAAAAAGTGCCGATTAGAAAAAATGGCCGCCGCGAGTAAAAGGGGGGCGTGTGCGGTCATAAGGCGGGAAACAGAGAAGAGAAAAAGGTCGCGAAGGTGTACCAGGAGACCAATGGTCTCCTGGGAAATGGAGTCCGTCTCTACTAATTATGCTCCTGACGGGAGGGGATGAGGGGGAAAGCCCGGCGGGCTGGTTCTGTGTGCGGCCGAAACTCTGCTTACATCTAATTAAAGGTGTAAGCCACTTAAAAGAAGTAAAATAAAGGAGGATGGTAAACACTTAAAGGGGATGAGAAAACATCTGAAAAAAAAATAACATTGAACATATGAAATAAAACAAAAGGTTTTTAAAAGAGAATTACCCTGAGGAAAGCTGTAAGCTGTTATTGAGCGGTCTCAGGAGAGGAAAAAAACAGATAAAATCATCAAACAATTTAAGATAATTTAAATTTAAGTAATGAAGCTAGGCAACGTTATTAGAATAGACTCACCTGGGAGGCAAGCAGCAAAGAAAGAGGAAGTGGGAGGAGTCTGGTGGCACTATATTGCTCTATGTTGTGTTATGATTGGTTGAATTTTTACAACTTTATTAACTATTTCTTTGCTGCTGGGAGTTTTCAGTAAAGAAAGATAAGCAAATATGAAGCCTCCTGTCTTGCCATAAAATTTCAAGTTTTTCCCCACTGCTATCAGTGCAGCTATATGTAACAAGAAAAAAATATTGTTTTTGTATTTTGAAAAAGTATCCTTTTAAAAATTATGAATCAGGAACTGAACCCTTAAAGGCAGGTTTATAATTCTTGTGTGCGACATTAACAAACAAAAGTTCCTGTTGACTAATATATATGCTCCGAACCAGTCTCAAATTTCTTTTACAAAAAAAGTTTTCTCTAAAACTGAACACATAAAACCTGGTCACGTTGTGATAATGGGAGGCTTTAATTGCATTCTTGATCCAGATCTAGACAAAAGGTATTTGGGAAAAGTACTCAAGAATAGAAATTTACTAAGCAGTGCCACAAGATTCTCTGATTTAAATAAACTATTTACGTACATTTCATTTGAAAGAAATAGACTTTTCCTGCTTTTCTAGATCCTTTTGTTTATATTCCAGAATTGATTTGATCTTAGGTGATAGGCTTTTATCCAAACATATTAAGAAAATATTTATTACAGGTACTACCTGCTTAGACCCATAACTCTGTCATTATAGACATCAAAGACCAATTTGGCAAACAAAGATAGGACTGGAGGCTGAACGATTGGATCTTAATGGATGAAAATAATCTTTAAAAAAAAATGAAAGACCTTACTGACTGTTTTTTTTTTTTTACTGGAAATAGAAATAAAGATGTATTGGCACCTATAACTTGGTGTGCATTTAAAAGTGTTATACGAGGCCATCTTATAAATGTATCCACCAAAAAGAAGAAATAAAGTTATAAAATATTTACTAGCTTGGAAGAATTATATATCACCTTAGACCAGGGCTTTCCAAACTTTTATGGGCTTACACCCACTTTTAAAACCGATAATTTTTCATGACCTACTTGCTTTTAAAGGATCACTATAGGGCAGTGTTTCCCAACCCAGTCCTCAAGG